TTTCGCCCTTAAATTTTTTCCGAAAGTGATTTGTGCAATAAGGACTTTCTGGCTGTTTACGCGGGAAANTTATATGTAATGCAAAATTTCTATAATTTGATACCAATTCGCCAAAAATCACGTCACTCGGCAACACACGTAAGCTGAAAATATTTCTCGAAAGCGGTTTACGTAATTCAGTTGCAGNTTATATGTAATGCAAAATTTCTATAATTTGATACCAATTCGCCAAAAATCGCGTCACTCGGCAACACACGTAAGCTGAAAATATTTCTCGAAAGCGGTTTACGTAATTCAGTTGCAGTTTCGCCCTTAAATTTTTTCCGAAAGTGATTTGTGCAATAAGGACTTTCTGGCTGTTTACGCGGGAAAGTAGACTTTTGCTATGACAGCAAAATGCGTAGGAAAAACGCTTGCATTGCCACGTTTAACCGCATAAATGTAAGATATGAGTAAATCGAGAGGTTATTCTTTTTATTGATTTTTTGTTGGTGACGNTTTCGCCCTTAAATTTTTTCCGAAAGTGATTTGTGCAATAAGGACTTTCTGGCTGTTTACGCGGGAAAGTAGACTTTTGCTATGACAGCAAAATGCGTAGGAAAAACGCTTGCATTGTGAGTAAATCGAGAGGTTATTTTTTTTTATTNTTTCGCCCTTAAATTTTTTCCGAAAGTGATTTGTGCAATAAGGACTTTCTGGCTGTTTACGCGGGAAAGTAGACTTTTGCTATGACAGCAAAATGCGTAGGAAAAACGCTTGCATTGCCACGTTTAACCGCATAAATGTAAGATATGAGTAAATCGAGAGGTTATTTTTTTTATTGATTTTTTGTTGGTGACGTGGGCCTAACATTTTAAATGCAAATGTACATCAATTTGACACAGGATTAACAATTAATAAATAAATTATATACGTTAAAAGCTAATAGAAGAAGAAATCAAGAATGAAATATAAAATTATTCCATGATAACAGAAATAACGTCGAATATATTTTACTTTGACTAATGGATGAAATTCTCTTGTATTATCTCGGTAGCCTGGGCTCGAATTGTCACATACGATATCGTATTATTTGTCACATAAAACACATCAAAATTCGCCCANGTTAAAAGCTAATAGAAGAAGAAATCAAGAATGAAATATAAAATTATTCCATGATAACAGAAATAACGTCGAATATATTTTACTTTGACTAATGGATGAAATTCTCTGATGTATTATCTCGGTAGACTGGGCTCGAATTGTCACATACGATATCGTATTATTTGTCACATAAAACACATCAAAATTCGCCCAGTCAACTTCAACAAAACCTCCAAATTTTGGTTGTAAATTTTTGCTTATTTTGTAAACACACTCAGCTCACATGTAAATAACCAAAAATACTTTCAAATTCATTATGAATGAATTAGCTGAGTGCACTTTTCTTTTGTTTACAATTTGGTTGCCAAACACACTACAGCTGATCGTTTGACACATATACCAGAATTTACCTGCAAAAAATTCTCGGACTAAAACTGGTAACTTCTGACAGAAAGAGAACCGTATTTACTCTCTTTTTTGTCCTCTCAATAGTCAGAGAACCGAGTACGGTATCGTTTTCCAGTTAAATCTGACTGATTTTGACTAGTCCGGACTCGTACGGGATCGCAACTATAATTAAGAGAAAGTTGGAGAAGATAAAATTCGTTTTTTTAAGTGTATGCTCTTAGCTACCAAAAATTATGCACCAGATACGCCCTGTGCACTGTAAACAACCAGAGATGTGTATTTCAATATTTCTATTTATTTACTATCTCTTGTTGTGCCTGTCCTATTTCGAAACATGGGTAAATAAAATTTAATTTTAGTAAAGACGCTAATACATTGTTATGATTTTTGCATAGAATTCATGTACGAAGAGAAATATGTTCCACATAAATTAAAGGCTGAGGATAAAGGCTCAGTGTGGTATTATTTTCTGCCTTCTGCTAGTGGGGGACCAACAGCGCAATGCAAAACCTGCAACAAAGTATTAAAAACATGCCTGGGCTCCACTAAGGGACTTTTAACGCATCTAAAGGTAAAATGATTGGATAATTTGTTGAAAACATTATAAATATATATATTTTATTTTAGTTCCACAAAATAGAGTTGGAGAGAAAGCCTGGCCAGCAGCCAGTGAAAGTAAGTGGTACGCTTTTTAACAAATGCAAACCTTCGATTTGGAAATGTATGTACATATACCACACTTCAATAAGCCTGTTCCAAATGCTTCAGGATTTGCAGGATTTTACAGTAATCTGTTCGCCGACAACTTCAATAAGGTTTATTAACGAATACAGCTTTTCCTGTAAATTCTGCAAATGCTGAAGTACCTGGAACATATGACATTAGTCCATCCCTTAATGTATGTAGGGAAAGTTATACAACCCAGTATAACTTGTGAGCATCGTACGATTGTTCGGTGAGTATTCTGGTGAGTACTCCCTGGGGAGTATACGAATACTCCCCATTGCTCCTTATGCTCCTGTGTATAAGCATGTAATTTGTATACTCCCTTTAACATTAAATATTCTAGAGGGGGAGCAATACCTTTTACCTCCTAATAGAGCAATCGTGGAGCACACACAAAAATATCACACCACAAACCTCCAAAGGGAGCAATACGGGAATATTCCCATAAAAACCTCCCCTATACCTTCCAAAAGGACAACAAGGGAGTACACATAGAAAACATTCTATATTCCTCCCGAACGAGCAATAAGGGAGTGTTCCCATGAGAGGCATCCCGCAAGCCTCCTGTACGAGTAATAAGATGGCTTTTCATTCCATCCATTTACATTTTTAATTTTTTAATCACATGCATGTATACAATATTAACATATTAACAGATGTCTTTATGTAAGCACGAGATCAGAGAAAACATAGGTAATACTTATTACATTATTGATTAATATTGAAATTCTAGTGCGGACAAATGCAATAAAAGTAAAACAGAATAATAAAACGCTAAGATAACTACATGATGGGTGTCAGGGATGTTGGCGGTTCCGGAATTCACGCAAATAGGGAGAGTGTATAATAAAACTCTTGTTTTAACCACGATCAATGTGAAGGTTATTTGCCCAGCTGATATCTACGTCACCCAGTAAAAGCTCTGGACCGGCGTACATAAACGTTGGACCTAGGGTATCATGCGTGAGTGCTGATACTAATATGCCCAATCTGAAAAGTATTTAGCGGTATACATATAGTACAATATCTAATAAATTTAAACAAAAGTTGCAATACATACCGAAGGAGATTCATTTAAATGAGTTCTATCGACATTATTTTAGTGCATCCTCCTTATATTGTTTCTATATCAAATATTTTCAGTAGTTTTGCTTGTGATAAATTTTTCCAATAACACAAAGTTTCTCTTGAACCAGGTGCCTGTAGCTCCCCTATCAATCAAAATGAATACTCCTTTACCACTTGGACGAAGGGGGTCAGACTACACGGAATTCACGGGAATTCACGTCGATAACGAACCAATCCCTACGGTCAACAATTCGAAGATCTTCGGAGTAAACTTCGACAGCAGCATTTAACGCCATAAATAGCCAGATAACTCGTGGCTTTAACCGAAACCACCCTTGTGAGAGAACCATTCTAGTAGCGCTGGACCTGTCTAAGGCGTTCGACACTGCCAGTCATTCAACGTTACTAGAAGACATAGAGGCCTGCTCTCTCTCACAAGGACTCAAACGGTGGTCGGCGAATTATATGAG